CTTTCAAGAACTCCAATCAAGACAATTATTATTTAAATTGATGCACTAACCCCTAAAGCTAGTGATGTAGAAGTTGAAGGATTCTGCCAATGTCTTCACTTGGAAATAAATCAAATGTGCAACCAAGATGCATTGATAATTATTGGTGATTGGAATACAAGCGTTGGAAACAAAGAGAAATGAAGAGTGGTTGGAAAAGATGGTCTTGGAGATAGAAAGGAACCTAGAGATCACATGACAGACCTTTACAAGTCCAACGACTATCTCATAGCAAAAGCCTTTTTCAACAACACAAATGTGACTATACACATGGACTTTCCCAGATGGAATTTTCAGAAATCAAATTGACTATATCCATGGGAAAAGACAATAGAGAAGTTCAACGTCAGCAGCTAATACCAGACCAAGGGTTGACTGTGAAACAGGCGGTTGAGATTGCTCCTATGAAAGTTCAGATTGAAGCTGAAGAAAATTAAAACAAGTCCAAGGGAGCCAAAAGATGACTTTGAGTCTATCAAACTTGAATTCAGAGAACATCTCCAGAAGAGATTTGATATGTTGAACACTAATGACTGACAACCTGATGATCTTTGGGAGAACATCATGACCACCATTCATGAAAAAAGCAAAAGTCATTAAAAAGATAGGAAAGAAAGAAAAGATCAAAGTGGATGTCAGATGAGACTCTGAAATGTGTTCTTAATCATAAAGCAAATGGAAAAATGATGAAATCAAAGAGCTAAATAGAAAATTTCCATGGGTAGCTCAAGAAGACAAAATCAAATGTTACAATGAAATGGGAAAAGATCTAGAATTAGAAAACCAAAAAGGAAGAACTTGCTAAATATATCTGCAACTGAAAGGACTTAAAAAAAAAATCCAAGCCTAGAACTGCAATATTGAAAGGTCCCATGGAAAAATATTGAATGATGCAGGAAGCATCAAAGAAAATGGAAAGAACACAGAGTCATTGTATCAAAAAGAACTGATCAACATTCAATCATTTCAGCACGTAGCTTATAAGAAGAAACCAATCGTGCAAAGGAAGAAGTTCAAGCTGCACTGAAAGAAATTGATGGAATGCCAATTGAAATGTTTCAACAAGCCGATGAAGCACTGGAAGCACTTAACTTGTCTTTGCCAGTAAATTTGTAAGACAGTTAGTTGGCTAACAGTCTGAAAGAAATCCAAATTTTTACATATTACAAAGACATTGATTCAACCAAATGCCTCAATTATAGAACAATATCATTGGTATCACATTCAACTCAAAATTTCTTGAAGATCATCCATTAAAGGTTGCAGCAATACATTGACAGTCACTACCAGAGGTCCAGACAAGATTTAGAAAAGGACATGGAAGAGAGGAATATCATTGCCGATGTCAGATGTATCTTGGCTGGAAGCAAAGAATACCAGAAAGGTGTTGACTTATGTTTTATTGATTTTGCTATAGCATTTGACAGGGTGGATCACAACAAAGTATGGATAGTCTTGAGAAGATTGAGAATTCCAGAGCACCTTATTTTGTTGCTGAGAAACTAGGACATGAATCAAAAGGCAGTTATATGAACAGAACAGAGGAACAATGCATTTTAAAATCAGGAACAGTGTGTTCCAGATTTGTATCCTCATACCATACTTACTCAATCTGTATGCTGAGAAAATCATCAGAGAAGCCGGATTATATGAAGAATAATTTTGCATCAGGATTGAAGGAAAGCTTATGAACAACCTGAAATATACAAATGATACAACCTTGCTTCCTGAAAGTGAGGAGGAGGACATGCTGATGAAGATCAAGGACTGCAGTCTTCAGTATGGATTGCAACTCAATGTAAAGAAGACCAAACCCTCACAATTGTACCAATAGGTATATCATGATAAACAAAGATTGAAGTTGTCAAGGATTCTGTCTTGCTTGAATACATAATCAACTCTCTTGAAAACAACAGTGAAGCTATCAAAGGAGAGTGTGCATTGAGTAAATGTCTTGCATAAGATATCTGTATTTTATTGAAAAAGAAGGATGTCACTTTGAGTTGAACCTGACCCAAGTCAGAGGATTTTCAGTTGAACTCCTATGCAACGTGAAAGTTGGACACTGTATAAGGAACAGTGAAGAAGAATTGCTACATTAGAATTATGGTGTTGGCAAAGAATACGGAAAATATCATGGACCACCCCCTCAAAGGACAAACAAATCTGACTTGGAGGAAGTACCACTAGTGCTCCTAGACAAAAATATGGTGAGACTTTTTCTCATGTACTTTGGACATGTTAGGCGAGAACGGTCCCTCTTTATCAGGCTCAATAAAGAAGAGGGGCAGTGAAAGAGAGGAAGGCCCTCAATGAGAATCATTCACACAGTGGCTCCAACAACAGGCTGAGACATAGGGAAAATTGTGAGGATGGTCCAGAACCGGGCAGTGTTTCTTTCTGTTGTGCATAGGGGCCCTATGTGTTGGAAATGACTGGGCGACAACTAACATCACAGCAACAACAAAGAGGTTAAGCCTCTGGTGAATCCCTCGACCACAGGTCAAAGATATGAGTAGCCTTGTTATCAGACAAAGAACATAGTAAAGTTTATTATGGCAAATGCATCCAGGTTAAAAAGTAAAATTTGATCTCCCTTTGAATCACTTGAAACTTTTTGCAGTTCTTAATATTTTCTGCTTTATTTTGTTTGTTTAAAATGAACTTGTGTGTCACTAATGAATCTAAGTCCTCTTCAGTTTTACTTTTGCTCCATTTAAAGCCACTCAGATAAATTTTCAGATACAAAGGCTAAGGAAGGAATATGCAACTTTATTTTGTTTTTAAAGAAAAACATAGCTGTGTAATTGCACAACCCATCTTATCAAATCAGTAAGTGTCTCATTGACTCCTACCTTCCCATTAAAATGTAGTTTCTTTTCCTTCTACCTCCTGCTTCCTCTAGCTCCATGATTTTCTGCCTCCCCACCCCTTACATACCCTAACCCCATCCCTGGCTTCCTTATGGTCTTCAAAGTCTTATCCTTTATGTGAAAATAATCTTTCTTTATTTTCTATCATGATGGCATCATTAATTATTTTTATAGGATTGACCAACTTTGCTGAGCACAATATTATCTAGTTTTGTCCATGCCTTGTGATGTTTAAGAGAGTCTTCATTGTTATTTGTTGCTACGTAATAGTCCATTGAATTCATGTAGACCGGGGTAATAGATAAAACAGAGTATGTTATATATTTCTCTATAATCAGAGTTTTTGTTTTCATCTTTTTGCTATTATAAACATATGTCTGTTTGTGTTATATTTCTTTAGAGTATATACCCATCAGAAGGATTTCAGGATCATAATCTAATTTTTTTGTTTGTTTAAGGAAGTGTCCTATTGATTGCCACAATGGTTGTACAATTCTATAGTCCCATCAGAATGAATGAGCATCCCAATCTCTACAAATCCTCTCCAGCATTTATTATTATCTGCTCTTTGAATTTTGCTAAAAGTGTCTGTGTCAGGTGGCACCTTAATGTTGTTGGAATTTGTCTTTCTCTAATTGCTAATGAACATGAACATATCTTCATATGTTTGGGGACCACCTGGATGTCCTTTTTAGAAAATTGTTTATTCATGTCTTGTGCCCATTTTTGCCAAAGCCCCATTTTGGTGCCCCGTGTTATGGAGTCCCTCAATTTACTACTCTGTACTTCTCAGTCATTTTCACTGAAAGGACAGCCTTCCCCTCTGCCCAGGTAACCCTCCAGGCTCTCCCATGTATTCATATTTAGATGCCTATACTTTCTAGGAATAGGTGTCCGAGGAAAGGGGAGAAAGTATGAAAATAGAACTCTGGGGTTTGTATCAGGGCTTTGGGGGTTACGTTGTTACGTTCTTTATTCGTTAAGGAAGAAATCGGAAACACAATGTGTGTGGGCAGATTTGGGGTGAAAGATACTGGGTGAGAAGTTGAAGTTCACTGATGCTCTTGATCACGCATCACATTCTTCTTACGTAAAGAAAACCAGGATCCAAAATAATAATAATTACCTATGGACATGGCAGGGGAAGTTGGGGGAAAATGGGGATCTAAAGCAATAAGTACCAAAAAAAAAAGAGAAAATGTTATAAAAATGATTGCACACTATTCTTAATATTATTGAAATAATGAATTGTATGATACATGAATTGCACAGCAATAAATATAAAAATTAAAAAGACTCAATGGAAGTGAGTTTCTCATGCATAATTCACAGCAAGAAGTGGGTTTCTTTGGGATAAGAAACGAACATATGTCCAGTATTCTCTGAAATTGCCAACAAAGTATTTTAACACCTAGTAATGTGTCCACGATCCAGTGATGGCACCCGATCTGAAACAACTGTCAACACAGCTATGCAGACCACTCTGCACTGCCTTCCTCCTTTCGCTCTGGCATCAAAGTGCAGATTGCTTTTGTGATTCTCTGTGGATATGGCGCGGGGACGCAATGCCCTCCAATGTATAGAACCCCAAATAACAATTTCAGTGTATATTTATTCAATATTATTTCCTCATCTCTGTAACCATGAAGAGGGCAGAAAACATAAATGAATTATGAGAATTTGAACCTTGCAAAGGAGAACTGTCTATTTAAAAGTCAACGCCTTACCTATTCTGCAAGCAGCACAATACACTGTTTCCAGTAATGAAAAATCACTCCAGAAATCTGAATGCATCTCTCATCACACATCTTAACCAGCAGTTTATATTAAAACCATTTTTTCACTAACAGTGATCTGTTTATGTTTTTGCTTGGTTCCCATATATCCTCTGGAGGCAATTAACACAACTTAGAAATAAAAATGACCTACGCACATGAGGAAGACTTTGTATCTGAGTACTAGAGCCTGTGCAGAAACACTGCGTAATAAAGCATTTGCTTGATATAGGGCACTGAAGGAAAGAAACGCACACTCTCTGCTCTCTGGAGGAAGAATGATCATCACCATGGGCATGAAAAGGTAACTTACCAGACTAAATCGATTCTTGGCCAGAGCAATGAGTTCCTGGTCCCCAGGGGCACAGATGTTTAAGCCAATGGGCAATAGTCGCTTCAGAGCTGCTACAATAAGAGAGGTCTGCATAGAATACCGGTCGCCTTTTCGTTTCATTTTCTTCCTTTCTTGTTCAGAAACAGCTGCCTGTGAAACAAACATTCATTCTGGAATCTTTGCCAATGTTGATCAATTTCAGAACATGCTACTGAGGAAAATTACACTGAATGTGGTTTATCTTCCTCATTTTCTATTGGCTCCTCTTCCATTTAAAGAATGTTTATTTTTTTGAACGCCATACTGTGCTGTCCATCATTTTTTTCTTTCTTTCTTAAAATTTTAGTACTATTCTCATATGTCCTAGTCATTACAATTCATTAATACCCAATTCTATGAAATTATTAAGTGCAAAAAGTAACAGGTAGGAATATGAGAATAACTTTGTTTTATAATCTTCATTGTTTAAGGAACAATATTAAGAATAAAAACTTTACTTTTGTATTGATGGATGTCTGATGCATATATTATGTATATAATGCATGCATACATAATAACCTTATAAAATACATTCTCCTTTCACACAGTGTAAAGGCTCACTATGAGTCAGAATTGGCTGGACAGCAAAGTTTTGTTGTTGCTGTTAACAATCTAGTCTCCAGAGGGCCTCCTTTCTAAGCTGGTGAATTAGAAAACCAAACCAAAGCAAACTCACTGCCATTGAGTTAGTGCCAATTCAGAGTGACCTAGATGGGCATTTCCTACACCTAACTCTTTACAGGAGCAGAAAACCTGGTCTTTCTCCTGCAGAAGAGTTGGTGCTTTTGAGCTGCTGACAACTATACCACCAGGGCTCTTAGCAAATTTGACCTAATACACAAATCGACGTTTTTAAATACACAGGGGTTTCTGGATGACATACTTATAACTGAATATGCCATGCTACTTTAGTGCTTTTTTGGGTGATTTCATTAAAGATGCTGCTGCTACCTAGAATCACCTCAAATGAGAGTCAAATTTTCATTGATAATCTCTAGTTATGCCTTATGGGGTTGCTAATTGCAAGTTGGATGGTTCAAATCCCCAAGCCACTCAGCTGGAGAAAGATGAATATGTCTGTTTCCATAGTCTCCATAAACCCTAAGCAACTCTATTTTGTCCTACAGGGTTGCTATGACTCAGAATCGATAAGACGGCAGTGAGTTTAGATTTTTTGATTTGGTCATTTTCATTAGGTAGTAAAGATTCCTCCAGCTATTCAGGTGGCAAATTCTAATGTCTAAATTAAAATAGTTATGCCACATCTTTTTCCCAGCTCTTGTGGAGTTGCTGGTGGTTTTGAACTGCCAGCTATACAGATCACAGCCAAGTCTATAACCACTCCACTAGCTGGGCGGAATTCCCACATGTCCTTAAATAATCACCATGCTTACTTTACTGCATGGTATCGATAACTGAAAAAATGAGTGAAAAATGCTTGATCATTTAAGGGTAATTGATATATATCATTAATATGAAGAAATGAAATCTATAAGCAGGCAAATAGCATGTGTTGTTTTGCTTTAAAAAAATCCTTTAAAATCTAATTTCTCTCTAATATGAGCTCCACTAGGGCTGTGGCCTGAACTTTTTTGTTCCCTTATATCCTCATACCAAGCACTTTGCCTGGCCCAGGGGGACAGCTCAATAATTTAATCAACATTTATATAGCTAACAAGTTGCTGTTATATTTGGTTTGCAATCTATCCTCTAATATTTGAATCAGATATAAATATGTAGTATCATAGTCAACACCTGGGATCAGGATTAATTGAGCCCTCTCATAAACCAGTCAGTCAACTCACACTTACATATACATGGGCTTCGAAATAGTTTTAGATAAGTGTAAGTAAAAAAATGAGATTTTTCTGTAAACTTTTTGAAGACTGCTTGCATATAGACTTAAATATGATTCTCAAAGTTTCTTCTAAAACATCTATACTTGGAAATGGGAGATTGAGATCAATGAAAAACAACAATAATAATAAAAACACATCAATCAGAATGTTCTTAGGTGATATTCTAAGCCTTCAGTTAAGCAATTCTGTGCAGCTTGAAGCCAGAGGTTGGCTTCCTCTTCCCCTGTCTCCTTGTAACCCATCTGGAAACTACCCAACTTGCATGGTCAACACCGCCCTCTCTTCCCCAGTAAGGCTTTCTTTGGCTTGATTGTCCATTTGTCCAAATACCTGTTATTGGTTCGAATTTCACTGCATTTCCTTTTGTCACCTTTGCTACTAAAATAATATGTGTTAATGTTTCTGGTGTGCCTATAATCTGCAAGGCCCTCTATACAACCTGTTTTGATTGTTGCAACCATCTATCAGAGTAAGTGAGGTCAAGAAATTAATGAAGCAATCATACTTATAAAGTGACAGAGTTGGCATTTTCAATATGTGTACCTTCAAAAGACTTTCTCTTTCCTCTACCACACCGAGAACAGGACATGCATCTTTAACATGTAGTATTTACCACATGTTCCCTCAGTGATAACTTGCAAAGAATTTTCTCATGTTGTTATAGCAAAATAGCCCACCAAAGACGACCTGCATAAGTTTTTTAATGCACGTTGGAGAAATTTAAAACTTCAGCAATAAGAGATCTAGCCTTGAAGATTCTCAGAGAGAACATTTGTCATGAAAGCATACTAACTTCAGACTACCAAACCCCAGGACAATAGGATAAATTTGCTGTTATAAGCCACCCAATCTCTGGCATTGTTTTTGTAGTAGCCCTAGGAAACAAATATGCTATCTTATAAGATACACTTGTTTTATTTCACTTGGTGATAATTCAAAAGATAAATTCATATATTTTAAAGGGTTTAGAGAGGAGCCTTCCCCTTTTACTATAAGTTAAGTGAGGTATACTTAATACAAGGTACACATCCCACCACTCTCTCTGGTATTAAAATAATGAAGCAATTGTTTTGAAGTCTATACATGTAATGATTGAGCAAACTGCCATATTTAAATCCCCAAACAAGCAAATTGCCATTACAATTCACAGTGACCCTATAGGACAGAGTAGAACCACCCTACACAGTTTCTCATGCTTTATTCTCCATGAAATAGACTGCTGTATTTTTCTTTTGAGAAATGACTAGTGGATTTAAAGTGCTGAGCTTTCAGTTAGAAACTGAGCAGTGAACCACTATGCCACCATGGTACACATATATTTATTCGGCAAATTTATAACATTGCCTAATCATACATATCAGAGTATACTAACAGGCCAATTTTGTGAATGAGCATGTATATACATTAAGTAAGTAAATAACTTTACCCAATGCATCAACATTCAAAAGGCCTAAAAACATCAACCAATAAAAGTTAAATCCAGAATATTTTTAAACAGTGAAACAGATTTTAACAATACCTTTGACATCTTTGACTTGGTATCAGTAATAAGGAAAGACATATTGTTGATTTCATTCTGTACCACAAAATTTTGCTCTTCTCTTTTGAAATTCTAAGAATGTGCAAAGGAAATGTAAGTCAAAACCATTAAAATAAGAAGTCCATATACTAGTCATTGGGGAAAAAGAAAAACTACAATGACATATTGTGTCACCAACATGAAGATGGCTATTATAAAAAAAGTTAGAATAACACATATTGATAAACACGCATAGATATTGAACCCCTTATCTATTGCTTGTGGGTTTGCAAAATAGTGCAGCAACTGTGGAGAAAAGAGTTAAAAATTCACCTGAAAATGAAATAACGGACAACAGAAAAGTGGGTGAGTGTAAGACATGAAAAAATAATAATTTATAAATTATTATGGGTTCATAAGGGAGGGAGAGTATGAGATGGAGGGGGGGGGGATGAGGAGCTGATACCAAGGGCTCAAGTAGACAGAAAATGTTTTGAAAATGATAATGGCAACATATGAACAAATGTGTTTGACACAATGGATGGATGGATGGATTGTGATAAAAGCTTTATGAGCCTCCAAAAAATGAATTAAAAAAAAGAAGAATTAACTATGACCCAACAATCTGACTTAGGAACATACGCAGAACATTTGGAAGAAGTGACTCAAATGGGTGTTTGTAAGCCAATACTTATTTATCTACAGCACAGCACAGCTCAAAATAGTCAAATAATAGGTGAATAAAAAAGCAAAACGAAGTATATGCAAACAATGGTATGTCAAACATAGAGAGAAATTAAGTCCTGCTGCATGGGTACAATGTGAATCACCCTTGAAATCATTATGCTGAGAGCAATAAGTCAGACATAATATGACAAATATATAATCATGTGTTGATAAAATATCTAGAGTAAGTAAATCCAAAAGTTGAATTGTATGTCTTATTTTGGATGAGCAAAACCAGGTAAAGTGATCCCACAGTAAGCATCTAAGTCTCAATTACTAATACATAATAAAAAGTTTGCATGAAATGGTGTGGGTATATTTATACTGCATTTCAACTTTTATTCCACTCATTTTACCATTCATAATCATAAAGATACTTGTTTCATCTTTAAGCATTTGGAGATGTATTTAGCATATATTAAAATATTAATTCTGCATTAAATCATATGGATTCAATTAAATCCAAATCCATTAAATCATATGGATTCAAAAGCACATAGTCATATTTTCTTTTCATTTAAAATATAATTAGATATTCATCTAAAAGCAAACTGATTACTATAAATGCTCCTGTTTCAAATGTTGTAATGAATGAAAATTTAAAGAAGTTTCTGGAATATTCAATTATTCTTGAAGAAGCTTCTCACCTCTTCAAGAAAAAAAAGCAGTTTTTCGCATTTTACTTGAATATTTCCTGTGTTGTCATATTTACTTATAGGCTATTCTAGGTTGTGTCACTGACCTGACAGAAAATAAAAGGTAAGTAAAGTAAAATTTATCTCTGCCCAAGATAAATGGGTTTCCTCTACATCTCAAATTTCCATTAAGGTATTCTGAATGAACAAATTATCACTGAAATTAATGAGCTAACCAGGACAACAAACATACCCCCTAGTTCTCTTTCTTCAACTATTGGGAACACCAAGTGAACAAGCTTGAGAAACATAGACATAAGTAATTCCTGACGTAACCTTAAAACTGAGTAAAATCTAAAATGCCATTATCAGACAGTAGTCCCTCTCTGCTCAGACTTTCATACTTACATGGGATTTGGACCAGTAGATAAACACTTCAGCCACCATACGGAAGAGTTCCTCGGCTTCTGGGTTAGATTCTTTTAGCCACTTGGCCCTGGACCATTGAAGAAATATACCATCAAGGTAATTAATAAATAATTAAATAAATTCTCTCCCCCAAATGAAATTTTAAACCAAACTAAAGATGTCAACAGAGTGTATCGTGGCTTCAATATAAATAAGATTCAAAAGAAAAAAAATCATAACTGTAGAAGTGTCAAAAGCAGTCTGCTTTAGAACAAGATTTATGATTTTACAATGCTCAGTGACACTTAACTTCACTCTAAACATTAAGCTATGTTATAATCATGAGGGAACTGGTGGCTCCATGGTAGGCGTCTTGGTTTTCCTACAGGTGACCCAGGCTTGATTCTGGAAAATAGACATCATATCCAGCCCTCACCATGGATCATTGAAGGCATGCATGTTGCTGTGATGCTGAACAGAGATCACAGGTTTGCATGGACTAAGAAAAAGGTCTGCTGATGCCTTTCTAGAAATCAGTGAAAACTCTATAGCTTGACAAGATACTCAACCTGAACAGGGTTAGGAAGACAAATGGGATTACACGCATGACTCTCTATAGACTTGATAGAGGATATACATTTCGACATGTTGCAAATATAACCCTGGAGAGAGTCAAGCAGAGGGGGGGCAAGGTTATGAAAACTTCTTAACCATAACCAAACACCATGAAGAGTTTGGGAGTTGAGTTGAGTTATGGCATAACATAAACCACAAAGACAATGTTTTATATCCTACTTTGCTGGGTAACAATGGGGGCTTTAAAATCTTGTGAGCAATCACTGAAAGGGCAACTATTGTTCTCTTTCCATGTGGAACAATGAGGAATGAAACAAAGTAAAGGCCAAACAAAATAAACAATTAGTTCAAAAAACGTATGGGCACATGAACTCTAAGCTCCATGACCCTAAGACCAGAAGAAATAGATGGTGACTACTCTAAAATAGGTCACAATAATAGGAGGACCTGTATAGAGAATGAGAAACATGTGGAACAAAACTCAAAATCATGAACATGACTAGGATTCCTGGTTGAACAGAGACTGGTGGATCCTGGAAGACAATGGTCCTTAAAACCCCCCAGGCCTGGACCTGAGCTCACTTCTGATTCACCTTTTAGCAAAACAGTTGTCAGACATATAAGGTGAACAGCAGGGAAGGAGGAGTTATGAATTCTTAGAATAACCAACCAGAGGAAATAAAAAGGGCAGCTCTTGCCCAGGGATGAAGATCAGAAAGCAGAGAAGGATGAGAAAGAACAAATGAAAGCAGTAAACACAGGGAGGAACCGGGAAATGTGCTGCTATATGTGCGGGGAGCAATAAGGTTACAGAACAAAATGCGCTGGCAATGATGAATGGAAAAACAATTCACTCTACACAGTATCACTCAAGTCACAATGTAAAGAAATTGAATAATAGAATCCTTTAAGCTTAAAAAAGAAAAGAAAACATAAAAACTCAATAGTTAATGTCTTCATACATCAAGAATTCAAATGACGTTATCGAAAAACCCACAAGGAATGGACAAACTAAATAATAATAACATATAAATATGAAATACCAAAACAAAAACAAAATCCTATGGTCACAGTAGTCAAGGACAAGGATTGGCGATATCAATCATTTTTAAAAACTATACCTGTTGTAGTCCACAAATCTAATCAAGAGCGGGTAAAAGGCATAGAGATCTCTAGCCAGTGTAGTGAATTCATCCAGAATGAGGAGTTCAGCTTCAGACATGTCACCTCGGGCCTCTGCTTTCAGCTGATCTTCCTCAGCTACAACCATCGCTGCCTTTTTGGTGAGCTTCTCCATTAATGGCAAAAAGTGAGTTTTCAAGAGCTGAGGCTTTACTTTATTTATAATAGGCTGTGAAAACACTGAAGATGGATGTCAATCTTATTGTCAGGGCAGATTGTGAGTATGACAGTACCACTAGCAATGCTTCCCTCTGCTCACATGGCTTATTAAGGTAGAGCCCATTCACTCATCATTTTGGAATCGCCCCAACCAAAGTGCACAGTTGTTGTCCAGGTTTGAACACTGATTGAATTTAGCATGCTTGTGTTTTGAAAAGGAGTTGGAAATAAATTATTTTCATAAAACGAAGCAAATTTTCAAAATAGGAAAGTTTCTCATTCTTTAGAAGAGATACACAGATCACTGGATACTTTTGTAAAAATCTATGTATAGTTGGAGAATGTTAATATCACTTTAACCATCCCTATCCCCTTCTCAATAGGAGAGTCACATTATACATATCGCTGTAGTTTATTCAATAATTGTCATAGTTATTAAGTTATTTGATCATTTCTGAAAGGAATTTTCCGCCTAAAAGTATGTGTATACATTATAGAAATATATAAAAGAGAAACATTAAAATCCAACACAACTGCCCCCCATCTAATTAGTAAGACCAATTATTACATTTCTTTCAAATATTAATAAATTAGGTAAGTTATAAGGATATGTAGTATACACATATTCTACATTCAATTAAAATATCTTTTCACTCTTAATATTGTAGATTTTCCAATTGATTAAATATTTTTGAAACCATAATGTTTAAAAGTAGCATATTATTGTGGTATGGGACTGTGTATAACTTATTTAACCATTCTCCAGTTGCTGAACATTTACATTGCTCCCAGTTTTTCAATGTAACTACTGCAGTAACAGACACATTTAAATGTAAATATTTTACTGTATCTTTTGCCATTTTCCCCGCCTCTGAACAAGCTGCTAACAGTGGGCTGTTTAAAAGTTAAGTTTTTTGTCTCTGTCTAAAGAAATTATTCATGGTTACTGCTATGCTTATTAATTAATCTTATACAGATAAATCTGAAATTTTTTATTTACTGAAAGTAAGTTACTTAATATTTAACTATACCTATTTTCCCACAGAAGTAGCATGACAGAAAAAAGAATACTATATTTGAATACAAAACAAAATACTGATTGCCTAGGATGAGAAAATACTAGTCTCCTGTATTCGAAATATTTTTCTAAATAATAGTGTTATGTATGCTTCCTTGCAGTACTTACCTGCTAGCCTCTTCATCCAGGCACCTTCATCAATTCCCAAGTTATTATATATAATTTTCAATATATTTCCAAGTAGTGTGTTCATGTGCTCTGAGTTCAGAGCTGTGCAGCACATTTCAGCCCTATCCAGGTTGTTCTCAGGTCCACAGTCCCACCACCGAGACATGTAGCTGCAAAGCATGGGCAATATCACCTCCATAACATGTGGCATTTGTGTATAGCGAATGCCAGACTCCGCTAATTCCACAATCTCTTCCATGAGTTTTTCCAAAGATGGTATGTTTGGACAAATGTCTTCCACATTAGTTGGCAAATTGAGAGCTGGAGAAAAACGCATAGAAAGGAATTGTGTTCAACCAAAGAATTCAACACAACTGAGCGCAAGGAAAACATGACAGCTTTTCTCTGCTTATAATAAATATATGCAAGCAAGTATTTCATCTTTGTCTTTAGAACTCAGCAATGCTACCTGGGTGCTCTTCAGCTATTGCTATTTCAAACCCTCACTCTTTTCCTCAAGCTTCTACCCTACCTTAAATATCAGTAAAGGGGGACACCAATATCACTTTCTTTAACTTCCTGTTGTCATGCCTACAAACTTTCTATTCCTGACCCATTTTACCTTCATTTCTCATTTTCAGGGAAAGGCCTGTGTTCCATGTAAGGGACAATGTTCAGCCTGCATTGTCAGCCTCTTCCTCTTTAAAGCTTGTACCATCACCATTTACCACTGATTTGATTCTGACTCCTGGTGATCCCACGTATGTCAGAGTAGAACTGAGCTCCACAGGGTTTTCAAGGGATACATTTTTAGATCACCAGGTCTTTCTTCTGAGGTGCATCTGAATGGACTGAAGCCTTTAAACTGTAGATCATCAGTTAGGGAATTAACTATTTGTGATACCCAGACTCCCTCAGCAGCCTATACACGATTCAAATATCTCCTACATTGTTGAGTTGTTGTTGTTTCCAGACATCATTCATTCCACAGTAATGCAGGCTTCTGCCCCGCCCCATTAGACTTATTCTTTAACATTCTTTATCTTATTTGGCTGCTCAGTGGCACTCTACATCATTGACCTTGTTCCCTTTTCCAAAAATGCTCATCTTCCTTAAATTCTAGGAGATCATTGTTTTCCTGGATCTCCTGAGTTCTATCCATCTCCGTTGCTTACACTTTTTTGCTTGACTGAAATTTTAAGGACTGATGTTCTCCACTGATCTATACTTAACTCCTCTCTGTTTTGGTTTACATATTTGCTTAGGTCAGTGCTAAGAGCTTCTGTCATAAATTAAAAAGCCTCAAAATCATATTTAATAATTGTAGTCTAATACTGGGTATATAAAAAGAAACAAATACCCAACATAGCTAAATTTGAAATGTATCCTTCCTCTCCAGTCTACTCCTTCAGTGGGCACTCTCTTGGTGAAGGCAACAGTATCCACTTGGCTAGCGAAGCTGGGAACCTGGAGAAATTCTCAGGCATAGTGTTCCCTTACCTCCCACATAAGATGATCCTCTGTTATCTTTCTTACACCACTTCACTACATGACCTGTGCAAGGGTCCTTGATTCAACCACATCTTACTTGAATTATACGTATTTCATTGGTGACTAGTACTCATTCATTTTCTTATTGCTTTTTAAAAATGCTTACACCCAATTACAGTTTCCTATTGCTGATAGATGAGTCTTCAGTCCTTACACGATATGCTTCCTCATCTGTGTTTCATGTCTTAGAATCTTATCTACTGAATTACAACATCAGAGTATTTTCAGCTTTTCAAACTGTACAGACTTTAACTGTCCAAATTTAAGGACAGAAATTCTGCATGATGTCAATAATTAACACGCCTTACTGCTAACCTAAAGGTGAGAAATTTGAGTTGACCCAGAGGTACTGCTAAAGAAATTCCTAACCATCTACTTCTGAAAAAATCAGCCATTGAAAACTATAGGAACACAGCTCTATTTTGACACAGAAGGGGTCACCGGGAGTCAGTGTCAACTCTCAGTTTAAAGGATAACCAACTTCTGGACGCCATTCTAGGTGACCCAGCTAAAACTGATGTTTTGTTTTGTTTCCCTTTTGAAAAATTCTAATTCCATTAAATTTACTGATTAAAGTCTTTGTGTATTTTTTTTACTTTGTGTACAAAGGTCGTGTTATAGAAACATAGCAGGTGAAATACCTGCTTTTTGTATATCTTTATCCCTGATAAATTATAAAATCTGCTTCCTTCATTCATAGTAAAAATAACAACCAGTTAAAATGATTAGTATGACAGATGATTCTATCTTTATACAGATGATTCAAACTCAACAATTCTTTGCTAAACAATTCACAAATACATTGTAGAATTACACAAAAAAATACTGTAAGGCAAATGTAACCTATTTTTCTTTTATTTCATCTTATATGGTACATGTGTGTTATGTGGAATCAAGTCTACTTTGACTCATAGCAACCTTATAGGATAGAGTAGAACTATCAAAGGCTTTCAAAAGCTGTACTACTTATAGAGGAGCACAAGTAGCATTGTGGGTAATGGATGGACTTCTAACCATAAAGTCAACAGTTATAACCCACCAGTCACTCTTCAGGAGAAAGACCAGACTTCCTGCTCCTTTAAAAGATACATCCAAAGGGGCAGTTATACTCCGCCATATGTGGTCACTAGGGTGGGAATCGACTTGACGACATAATTTTTATGGGATCAGACTGCTATATCTTTCTCCATTAGCAGCCAAGCACTTAGACCTTGCATCAGGGCAGAGTGGAACATAAAATTATATATCAGGTAGATTAAATAAATAAATATTATTAGAATCTTTATAAGATTATTCATTTGATTATTCATTCTAAACTACAGAATTACTATAACCTGATGCTCCAAAAATGATTTACACAGAGAAACAAGACCATTAATAGAGAAGTATGCATGTGGGAACATCAAATATTCCTTGCCTGATTTCTGAAAACTCTTTATGATTATTCAAAATCAACTATAATACAATATACTAGAGATGATCCATTATGGCTGCCAGACAGAAGCACTCATCAGAAACTCTGCTAGTTCCAGCCAGAATCTAACTCACACTCTGGGAAATCAGATGTGAAGTCTGAATGACCCTGATCACCACTCTTATTCTACATTTTGCTGGAAGACCTTGTCAGAACCATAAGACACACACAGGAAATTACAGGAGTACCATTGGGCAAAGAAGAATTGAAATTCTCTCTATTTGTAGACAGTATGATTTTATATAGAAAGACCCCCAAGTTCTCCACAAAATGACTGTTGGAAACAATTGAGGAATTTAGTAAAGTAGCAGGATTCAAGATTTACCAATTGGACTCTTTTATATCAGTGAAGAGAGATCCAGAAAAGACATCAAGGAAACAAAACCATTTACAATAGCCACACAAAAGTTGAAATACCTAGGTATAAACTTGATCTCAGAACCAACAGCCAAAGTTGTCAAAGCATCCTGGTACTGGTATAATGATGGACATAGACATAGACATAGGCAAATGGAACAGGAGAGAAAACCCAGAAATAAAAGCATCCGCCTACATACAACTAATTTTTGGCAAAGGCCCAATACACATTAAGTAAGAAGGGATTCCCTCTTCAATAAATAGTGCTGGAAAAAGCTGGATATCCATCTGCAGAACAAGACCCATAGCTCACGCCATGCACAAAAATAAAATCAAGGTGGATCAGAGACCTAAATGTAAAACCTAAATTTATCAGGATCATCAACAAGTACATTGGGACAAACCTCAGGGCTTAGTGCAGCGTATACAAAGACTACCAAAGAGAACAAAGGAAGCACACATGGCGGAAGGAAAAACAGATGACTAAGACCTATTGAAAGTGAAACACTTCTACACACGAAAAGATTCCATCAAATGCAAAATGAGAGCCGGTGGATTGGGAAAATATATTTAGCAATTCTATAATGCAAAAAGGACTAATTACTAAAAGCTACAGAATTCCGCAACACCTTCACAGTAAAACAAAACACAACAAGTAAGCCTCTTACAAACTTGGCAAAGGACCTGAACAAACAGTTCTCAAAGGGCTACACCTGAAATGGCTCCTTTACTAGGGATCTGGGGAATGCAAATCAAAACAAGATGAGACATCATCTAACACCGGAAACTGGAGCCCATTTAAAAAGTAAGCGAGAAAAGGGTGCCTGAGAGTTTGGAACACTCATACACTGATAATGGGCATGGAAATAGATAAAACCACCGTGGAAAGCAGTATGACAATTCCTAAAACAACCGACAATAGAAATATCAGATGACCCAGTAAGACCATTACTGGGCCTATAGCCCAAAGAAATAAGAGACAGATCACAAGCAGACCTACGCTCTCTCATGTTATTGCAGCACAGTTCACAACAGCAAGAAGTTGGAAACAGTCCAGATCCCATCAGTAGAAGAATGGATCAAAACGAGCAAACAAACAAAACTTTTGCTGTTTAGAGCCAATGTAATATTATGCATCCCTTCAAAAATAGTGACAGAAACATGGCACACCTCATGACATGGAAGGATCTGGAAATCATTATGCTGAGTGACGTTAGACAATCACAAAAAGACAAATATTGTATGAGTCTACTGCTGTAAGGATAAACAGTAAGATGAAAGCAAGCTCACATTTTCTGGCTGTGCAATCTGGCTATGCAATCTGCGAACCATGTCTGCCTGATTAATGTCCATGAACAATAAACCATTCGTTATACATGTATACCTTTGAGAGAGGAGATCTCACTTCAACCTACATCAGATTTTCAACATCAGGAGAAAGGAACATGACTATATAGAGGCTGCCATGTAAAAATGTAATGAGATCCCCTCAAACCAACAGCCATTCCTACCACAGTGATAAACTATGCCGATGGGGAAATCAAGTCAAAAGGGGGGAAAGGAACCATACATATGCATTATTCTTAGTAGAAAAAGGTGGAGGACCAATCTTTCAATGGTGGAAAAAATTACTAACAATACTTATATGGACCCCAAAAGGAAAATGTGCCTGGTCCTATTCTCCTAATAGGGCATATTGGACCCAGTTCCTGTATAGCCCTGAGGACTCAGGCTACGTGCCATAGAATACTGGGACAATGAACCCTGTATCTTTGAGGTGCATAACATATTCCAAAAGCCATACCAGAGGAATATAGAATCCCCACCAGGTGAATTACTCTACCTCAATCACACCTGTAGCATGAAGATTTAAGGCTGAAATGACATGGTGTGTGAAGAAATAGAAGGTAGTTGTATCAAGAGTAACAAACTGTAAGTAGGTGGACTACCATTTATTTACTGCTTCAATGCCATACTTGTTTTATTAAGATATGTTTTATTCTAGCAGACCTAGGTCTGACTTTCTCAGTGAATATTATATGTTTTGCCTAACCCCCAACTCCCATTGTTTATATAAACAGTGTCTAGTCACATAAGGATTTACTTTGTACAAGTCAATAATCCATGTATAGCGGTTTGTAGTTAGCCTACATTTGTTTAATCATCTTTTCTCAATTGTGTTTTAAATATATTACCATGGGCTAAATCAATGACACTATTAACAGAAAGGCATTATGTTCCGGGGAGATAATCAATAATGTTCTCTAACATAAAATAACAAATATCTATCTAAGGTGAACCAGAGGCATATAGAAAACATAGCTATAGAATTAGAACAGCCAGTAACAGAGAGGATCAAATGGCCAGCCCCACTATGGGACATGATGGCCCTCACTGACTCATGGCCTGGCGGGGGACAATACCAGAGACACAGTGTGGGAATTGCACCTGATCTGATCCCACCACACTGAGGCAAAGCACTGGGGGAGTGCAGTCGAACAGCAAGGGAATGGAGCAGCAAGGTCCCCAGTGAATGCTAAAGGTGGACTTTGGGGCCAGGGCGTGGTGCCCCAATAGACTGGACTGGAAAACATTCCTAAAGGCCAGCGATCCTTGAACTAATTACAAGCTTTTCCTTCTTGGTGTGTTTTTATTTGTTCTTTGTCAGTGGTTTGTTGTTGTCGCTGTTTTGTTGTACATTGTTTCTTGGTTTTGTTCTGTCTTGTTTTTGTGCATGTTGCTGTCTCTGCAAGTCTGTCTGGGTAGGACAGGCTGGATGAACAATCTGGAGGAGAAAACAACGGGACCAAAAGTTCTGGGGGGACCTGGGAGAGGGGGAGGTGGGGGGAAGGGAAGAGGTGTTAACAAACCCAGGGACAAGGGAACAACAACTAATCCAAATTGGTGGGGAGGTGGGTGTAAGAGACCTGGAAGGCATGATCAAGTGGAATGTAATAAAGAGGAAATGCTGAAACCCTGGTGGGGACTGAGCATGATAGTGGGACAGGAGAATCAAGGGAAATAGAGGAAAGAGCTGGGAGG